ATATATATATATATATATATATATATAGAAAGTACCTAAAACTAAAAAACGCAAAAAACCATTGTCATCACCAAGTTCTCTAAACCTATCATTTACTAATATTCGTGGTCTTCGAAGTAACTTTTCTTCTGTTGAGTCTTATCTCTTGCAAAGTTCACCAGACCTACTTGCTCTTTGTGAGACTAATTTAAGTTTGGCTGTCCCATCTTGTGATCTTAGTGTTGATGGTTATCTTCCTTTAATTCGTAAAGACTCCAATAATCACATGCTTGGCCTGGGCATCTACATTCGTAAGAACTCACCCATTTGTCGTGAAACTAGGTTTGAATCTACAGACTATTCATTTATGTGCTTTCGTTTAGCACAACTTCACTCTATCGCCTTTCTCTTTGTTCTATATCGCTCTCCTTCATCCCAAGATTGCACTATTCTTGATGTTATTTCTGATCAAATTGACCAAGCCCTCTCTCTTTATCCATCGGCCAATATCGTCGTTGTTGGTGACTTTAATGCCCATCACACCGATTGGCTTGGCTCTAGTGTCAGTGACTCTGCTGGCGATAAGGCCCTCAACTTTTGCCTTTCTCAATCTCTAACTCAAATAGTCAACTTTCCAACTCGTTTTCCAGACAACCCTAATCATTTACCTTCTCTACTCGACTTATGTCTTGTTTTGGATCCTAGTCAGTGCTCAATTTCTCCACATTCACCCTTAGGTACTTCTGATCACGGTTTGATCTCTCTAAAACTATTATCAAATTCTTCTACTTCATCAGAATCCCCCTATCATCGTACCACATACAACTACCTTAAAGCTGACTGGGACTCTTTCCGTGATTTTCTTCGTGATGGCCCTTGGGTAGAAATCTTTCGTCTTCCTGCTGACAAATGTGCTTCTTACATAACTTTGTGGATTCAGGCTGGCATGGAATCTTTTATTCCCTCTCGACGATTCCAGGTTAAGCCTCACTCTTCTCCTTGGTTTTCCTCACATTGCGCTGCAGCAATTTCTAATCGAAACCGTTACTTCCATATCTATCAGCAAAACAATTCTCCAGAAAACAGACATCTGTTCACTATCGCCAGAAACCATTGTAAAAAGGTTTTGTCTGATGCCAAAACTCGCTATTCCCAGGTCATTAAATCTCGTATCTCATCACAAAAATTAGGCTCTCGAGACTTCTGGAGAATCTTTAACAGTATCAATAATAAGGGCAAATCTGTTATTCCTTCTCTCTTGTATGGTTCAGACTTTGTCACCTCACCTAAAGACAAAGCTGAATTGTTTGCTAAGAACTTTTCATCAATATCATCTCTTGATTCCACTAGTTGCGTTTTACCTGACATAGCCGTCAAACAGGTTGATCCCTTGCTTGACATTCGCATCACTTCAGCTTCTGTATCTAAAGTAATTTCCTGCTTAGACTCTTCAACAGCTTGTGGTCCTGACAACATTCCTGTTGTAGTTTTGCAGAGGTGTTCTCCGGAGCTTTCATCCATACTTTCTAAACTATTTAACAAGTGCTTATCAGAGTCTTGTTTTCCATCATGCTGGAAAGCAGCATCTGTTATCCCTATTTTCAAAAATTCCGGAGAGCGATCTGATTCATCTAACTACCGTCCCATTAGTCTTCTTCCTGTCATAAGCAAGGTTTTTGAATCTTTAATTAACAAACACTTAATCTCTCATCTTGAATCAAATAACTTACTTTCTGACCATCAATATGGATTTCGGTCTTCTCGTTCTACAGCTGATGTGCTAACAGTAATAACCGATAGGTTTTACCGTGCATTAGATAGAGGTGGAGAGGTTAAGGCTATCGCACTTGACATTTCTAAAGCTTTTGATAAAGTTTGGCATGCTGGTCTTCTCCATAAGCTTTCTTCTTATGGTGTAGCTGGTAACGTCTTTAAGATTATTGAGTCCTTTCTTTCCAATCGTAGTATAAAAGTTGTCCTCGATGGACAACACTCTTCTTCACATCCTGTAACTTCAGGGGTTCCTCAAGGTTCAATCCTTGGCCCTATACTCTTTTTAATTTACATTAACGATCTTCCAGATATTCTCACATCTAAGGTGGCATTATTCGCTGACGACACTACCATTTACTCTTGTCATGATAAGAAGCCTACACTCTCTGATTGCTTGGAGGGGGTATCTGAGCTTGAAAAGGATCTCACTTCTGCTACAGCATGGGGCTCACAGTGGCTGGTGAACTTTAATTCAGATAAAACTCAATTTTATTCGGCCAATCGTTATCGTAATAATTTAGATCTTCCTATATTTATGAATGGTAATGTACTAGATGAGTCATCTACCATTCATCTTCTAGGATTAACTCTTACTTCTGATCTTTCTTTTAAACCGCATATCAAATCCATTGCAAAATTAGCATCTGCTAAGGTTGCATCTCTTTATCGAGCTCGACACTTTCTTACTCCAGATTCTATTCTCTATCTCTATAAATCTCAAATCCGTCCCTGTATGGAATACTGTTGCCACATCTGGGGCGGATCTTCTAATGATGCTCTTTCTCTTTTAGACAAGGTGCAAAAACGAATTGTAAACATAGTTGGACCTGCTCTGGCAGCCAATCTCCAACCTTTGTCACATCGTCGTAATGTTGCTTCTCTTTCTCTTTTCTACAAATACTATAATGGGCACTGCTCTAAAGAGCTAGCGTCCCTTGTGCCATCTACTAAAATTCATTCTCGTGTTACTCGCCATTCAATTAAGTCTCATCCTTTTTCTGTGACTGTTCCTAAGTGCTTCAAAAACTCTTATTCTTCTAGTTTTTTTCCTCGAACATCAGTTCTTTGGAATTCGCTTCCTTCATCTTGCTTTCCTGATTCATATAATTTGCAATCTTTTAAGTCATCAGTCAATCGTTATCTTGCTCTACAGATTTAGTCTTTTCTCTTCCAGTAACTTCCAACTCTTATAGTGGTTGCTTGCAGCCTTGTTGGAAGTGAAGATGTTAAAAAAAAAAAAAAAAAAAAAAATATATATATATATATATATATATATATATATATATATATATATATATATATATATATATATATATATATTTAAACAATTTAAAATGTATTCTACAAAAAGAGTGCTCAACATTCTTAAAAGAACAGAGCAATTACAAATTAGTAGAAAATCACTTAGCAAAATTTTTTCTCATTTAACATTTCTGATGAGTCTTTATTAATGAAACACAGTGTTAAATGAGAAAAAATTTTGCCAAGTGATTTTCTACTAATTTATATATATATATATATATATATATATATATATATATATATATATATATATATATATATATATATATATATATATATATATATATATATATATATATATATATATATATATATATATATATATGTATTTACAAGGTGTATACATATATATGTATTTACAGGATGTATACATATATATGTATATACAAGGTATATACATGTATACATGTATATATATATATATATATATATATATATATATATATATATATATATATATATATATATATATTTAAAAATTTATGTTTAAAAGTTATTAAGTAAGAAAGATCTTATTTAATAACTTTACTTGAGGGTTTCAATCCACAAGTAAAGTTATTAAGTAAGGTGTTCCACAGGGTTCTCTTCTAAAGCCTTTACTATTTTTTAATACATATTAATGATCATGGTACTATCATCTAATTTAATTAAATAAAAAACTCTTATGTACTAATAGTATTTTGTCATTAATACAACACAATGTTTCCTAACAAATTCTAATATCAATTTATTATCCCTAGTTCGACTCCCACCTAAGTTCGCACTGTTTAGGGTAAAAAAAGGTAGTTTTCTATTAAATTGTATAAACAGTTTACAAAGCACTTCCATAAAAATAATTTTCTCCTTTACGATCTAATATACAAAATAGGTTTTCTGAATTAAAAAATTCTAAAATTTCAAGATCTTTTAAAGCTTTATAATTGCTTCTTGGTGTTTGATTTTCTTTAAAAAAAAAACTACCAAATTCATTTAATAATTTTTTTCTATTAAAACAAGTGATACACATAAATATTACACTTGAAATACTGAAAACATTAACTTATACATTTTTTTTTCAATACTATCAAATATGGCAAGCTCTCTATAAGACATAAATGTATTTCTCACTGGAATCAAATAGTACTATTTATAAAAAAAGATTTTAACAAAATACCTTTTCATTACCAACATTCTTCTTCAAATTGAAACCAAGTTAAGAAATTTAGATTTGAGTATATATTTAATGAATACTTTATCTTTTACTATTCTTCCTACTTTTTTTTATTATACTATATTTATAAAACTATTATTACTTTTATTTTAAACTATCTTTTTTATTATTAATATTACTTATAATGATAGTAATGGTAATTCTATTGTAATTGTAGTTTTATGGTTATTGTCATAATTTTTGCAAATATTGTTTATTTTTATAATTTTTGTCAAAGTTATAAACTTAACGATAATTATTTTTACCATAGTTTTTATCTCAAGTTATAATATTTGCTTTATTTTCTTTTCTTTCTTTTTATTATTATTATTTTTTCTCTCTCTCTCTTGTTTTTATGTTTGTTAGTTTTCTTCAATTATTGTTTCTCTTTTCTTTTTTGTTTTTTTTGCTTTATTTTATTTTAAAATCTTTCAATGTCTTATAGCTTTTTTGTTTGTTTGTTTTTTTGTTGTTTTTATTTTTATTTTTTTTTTTTTATGCCACTCTATTGACTAGTTTTTAACTATATGAGTGACATCTAACCTTATTTATGTGAGTTTATAAAATTTAAATATATTATTTATTTTATAAAATATAAAGTAAATAATAAATAAATTTAAAAAAAAAGTTAAATAAACGGATAATATATATATATATATATATATATATATATATATATATATATATATATATATATATATATATATATATATATATATATATATATATATATATATATATATATATATATATATACCTTGAGATTCAACCAACTTATTCTGCACATGTGCTTCCATGTCTTGAAGAACTCCATCTTTAAAGTGATTTGATGCCAAGTCATGAAGATCAGTAATATTCATTGATTCAATATTGAGTCCATCATCTCGAATATGACTTAGTTGAGATGAATGATTTAAATGACGGAGACCAGACATTGACGAATACATTTTTCTTTACAGTTACAAAAAAAAATATATATATATATATGTATATATATATATATATATATATATATATATATATATATATATATATATATATATATATGAATTATGTTGGTGAATTTAACAAATAGAGTGCTCAATGTTCTTAAAGAACAGAGTAAGAATAAATTAGTAACAACATTTATTTATTTTTGTTTCCTCAACAAACTTAACTTTTGCATATATGGTACTTAGTAACATTTATACATTGTATTGGTATCTAATGTGGGTAATAAACACAAAAAAATACCCGTAATAAGGTATACAAAGAGAAAACTATAACGTCTTTTTTTTAAATATAACTTTTATATTCCACACAACTAAAATATGTGAATGGTTGAAATCGTAACTATGGTAAAACCACCAACCGTCGAGTACTACCTGTTATTAATAAAAAATTTGTTTTAATTCAAAAAACGCGCCTTCTGTACAAAACAAAATTCAGTTTCCATTGTTTTGTCGGTTAACAAATTAAATTGAAATAACAATATTTTTGTTTCATTTATGATTAGAAAAAAAATTTGTTAAAGTTGAGTGAAAAGGGGTAATTAGTTGCACTCAAGTTTTCATTTCATTTACACCATTACTTCATCGTATTACTAATGTTACAAAGCAATTTTGCATTGAATTTCCACGCCTCTTAACTTTTTCATCATTATCGTTTTTTAATAGTTCTTTTAAACCATGTAAACAGTGCTCTAGAAGAGAATATTTAGAAATAACCAATAATAAAAATTTTTTAACAGACTGTTTTTATTTTTGTATAGCTTGTTTGGTTAGAATACTACATAGAGATGCAGTGCCGGAAAAAGGGATGTGCGTGATGTGGTATGACTCTCACCCACCCCACCCTCCACCCTCAAATACTCGATATTAATCGGTAGAAAATGAGTTTGATCTTTTACTGTCTCAACGACATCTGGAAAAGCACAATATTTAGCTTGTTTTTGAAATCGAGAAATAACATTTACAGTTTATTCTCCTTTAAATGGATATGAAATCAGGCAGTGCCGGCTTTGTTGGCCCTAAGGCACATTTTAATAAGTGGCCTGATAATACAGATAATACGGACTTTCCCACAAAACGAAGAAAAGTAAAATTTAAAAAAGAATATTTATTAGGCAAAAAATAAATTATTTAAAATTTTCGCGCTTTTATAACTGCAAACTTGTCAATTAGTTCTTTGAAGTTGACCTTGTTAAGCTAATCACTTTCATTGCACAGAAGTGAAAATACAGAAAGACGCTGTTGAGCCATTGTTGATCTTTTTGCATCTTTAATTCTTTTCAATTGAGAAAACGAACGTTCTCCTGAACAATTGGTTGACACCAGACATAAATAGATCCGGAGTGCTATTTCAGTATTTGGAAATGCTTGATATACACCAGAATTGTGCAGCATTTTAAACATCTTCTGAACACTTGAATCAACTTGATTCTGTGCACTTGATCCTTCTTCATAGTTTCTCTGTTCTTTATACCAGCACATAAACTGTCGAAAATTCTGTTGGAAAATCAGAACAAAGGTTTTTCAAGTACACAGTAACCATTCCTTTAACAGCAATGTCAATATCTTCATCGGTCATGGAGTCATACTCAGTCAGTACTCCGAATCTCTGCAACACAATTGAGTAAGCTTTAATGCGTTTCTTTAATGCATTTTTCAGCTGATCGATGATAACATAGAAGGTATTGACCTTGAAGTTTTGCTGGCTTGACATCCCTTTCATAGCATCTGCGGCATCTCCATCATTGATTTGTCTCTTACACTTTGGTTGTCTTCGACTTTCAGATTTATATGTGCTGTTGCCACAGCGATCACCTGCCTTCTGATTATAATCATCAAACTCTCTCGGCATTCATCCAAAAATATACGCAAGCTCTTCAGCAGACCAATAGCTGAAATTGATTCGATTGTAGAACTTTGCAATAACTTGCTATTAATGTTGAACCTCTACAGCATGTCATTCCAAAGTTCACACAATAGGGCAACTTCAATAGTATCCATGTGTTTGGCCAATGAACCCGCTTCATTCCTTGTGCTACCATTCTGATTACAATCCCCTGAGATCTCCTGAAGAGCACTTTGTAATTGGTGGTACCCCTTGAACACTGCTTTTGCAGCATCAGCTCAAGCAGACCACCAGATATCTGATGGGTATTTTAGAACAAGGCATTCTGGTTGGTTTCTAACATGGGTCATCATGACATCCCAACAATGTGTTGATGCTACAAAGAAAGTATACAGGCGATTCAATGTTAAAATGATAAAAATGAAACTACTTCAACGCAACAATCCACAGCTGACTGGCCGACTAGGTTCAACGAGTGGGCAGCACAGAGAATGTAGTCCACTAAACTGTTTTAGTTTTTCAGGATTTGTTGCATGCCAATATATTTACCAGACATATTGCTGGCATTATCATATGTCTGACCACGGAATTTTTTGTAGTCGATGTCCTGATCTGACAAGTACTGAAGCAGTGTGTCAGCAAGATTCTGCCCTGTATGACAGGATATATTGATAAATGTCAAAAAACGCTCCACAGGCTGGTAATCCACCATATTAATATAACGAAGAATGATGGTCAGCTGGTCACAATGGGTAATATCAGGAGTGGAATCTACTGAAACTGAAAAAAACCGTGACTTTGAAATCTCATCCTTTATGAAACCAATAACTTGTTCACCCATCATTGTAATTAATTCTTTACAGATTGTTTTTAATAAACGTGTGACCGCGTCCGCGATTGCTATGAGTACAGATGTGCTGGGACAAAAATGGATCAAATTGACCAATCAGCTCCAAGATGCCCAAATAATTCCCATTTCCTCTGGAGCCAACAACTTTATTGCTACCTCGAAGAGGGAGACCTCTCTCACAAAGAAAAGTAATAGTTGCAACACAGCGTGACAGGACATTTCTCCAGTAATTGCGCTGCTCCAACATATTGTTGTGCAATTGCTCGTCAACTCTCCCAGCAGCAACACTTCTTTGACATAAAGTGATAACTGATTGTATGTGCTTTGCACTGATTTCATGGGATTTTAAGTATTGTGACATATTCTTCCAATCCTTAAATCCTGAGCCAGACAACTGTGACCGGTCAGATGAAAACAGAATGCAGGGAATGCAGAAGACACATGTCTTGGCTGGAGAATAAACAAGCTAGTCACGATCAACGATATCACCATTTGGCAAAACCCGTTTGAAGACACTAGAATTTAGGAAGCGATTCACTCCACTGTATTCCCACTTTGTTTCTGGATAACTGTCTGCCAAGTTTCGAAAATGGATTGGTTCAAGGCTGATGCACATGTTACGCACATGATCTGTTATGTCACCAAAACGCCCAACATCATTGGGAATGGTTCCTGAACCAGTATCAGCTCCATCTTCAAATTTTTCAGTATGTCCAAGTTCAAATACAATTTTTGCCTCTTCCTTGTGATCAATACCAACCTGAGATATTGATGAGGATGGTGGGGAATTGAGAGTAATATTATCAGTAGCATCAACCTTGTTTGTGGCAGTGAAAATGAATTGATTTTGGGTATTTTCTTTAACAGTTTATCTTCATCATGAGTTTTATTCTCTAACTCCTTCGCTCGCTCCCAACCACCTTTACGTATCGACATTAATCTAAAAATAAAACGTAAAAGTGATCTTTAAAAACGCATTTTTATGTATTCAATAGCATAATTATTCGATTTAAAAATAATTGATTCATAAAGTCATATCATAAATTGATGTAAAATTTTAAAAATTGATTTCTTGTGAACTGCATGATAAGAACATACAAAACCTATATATAATATATAATAGATTTTGATATTCGAAATAATAATTTAAAATCAAACTATCAGTATACCAGAAGAAAATCATTTGATGAATTTGGTTTTGAACTACCAGAATAAACACCCATTATGAATTCAGATGATGGGATTTCTAGAATGCACCCACATATAACCCAAAAACATTTCACTGTGCTGTTAAAGAGAGGTAATCCATCAATAAATAGACAAAGACTCAACTTGGAAAGATCAGAATTTATATTTTGTTCAATTAAAATAATAATTACAACAGAAATCTAACAATAATGATGACAGCGTCAACATAATTCATTAAAAATTATAGATTCCTGTAAGTGAAGGATTTTATTTTTGTTTATTTCAGGAGCATGGTGTTCAAAAATTTATGCAAATTACTCACTGGGATTGATTGTTTGACTTATTAATGATCTGCTTCTTATACCCCTAGGTCACAGAACTGAAGTTTTACATGTATAGTGTATATACGTTTTCTATGTTATAGCAAGAACTAATTTATAAATTAAAATAATATTAATTAGAATATGTAAAATGAATATGTGATATAATAATGATTAAACATATTGTTTTATATATATATATATATATATATATATATATATATATATATATATATATATATATATGATAAAAAATCATATAGATATAGATATAGATCAAAAAATCATATAGATATAGATATAGATCAGTATAGTTGAGATACATGGATCTAATCCATTTTATATTAGTGAGCTATATTATATTAATATCAACAATAAATAAAATATGTGACAAATATGTTTTGATAGAAACATTTAAAACATGGCATGTTGAACAAAAAAGCTATACCCAGTTCTTTCTGCAGTAAATGTAATGCTTTTTTCTTCTTTAAACCTACTAATAAATTTAAAGGATTACAATTTTATAACAACAGTTATATCTAAAAGTATATTCATTTGCTAAAACCATTAATTTTATTACTACGCTTTGTTATTGTTTACGAAAGAGTTCTACTGTTTAAAACAAATGTTATCGAATTTCAAAAATATAAAAAAACACAATATTTTTCGAATATTTTATTCGAAATATTTTAAATCGATATTTTAGAAGAAAAAAATTATCACTTGTAAGAATGAATTAGTTACAATTTTTGACATCGTAAAATTGATATATG